GTCTGCTGTCCCTAAGTTGAGATAACAGGCTCTTTTGAAGTATGTTAAAAGTTAAAGCTATAAATTCCATGAATTTCAGGAGGAAAGGAGGGGGAGAGATCACTGCTATGCCTCTTCTCATGACAAAAATGGCTGAGACCTGAACAAGATGGATGGCGCCTACAGCTTTCATGTGCCTAATGCACACAGCCATTACAGCCAGTGGGGCCGCCAATCAAACTCAGTACCCAACTTGAAGACAACAGGATTGGAAAGGGGTGGGCCAAAGTTCTTTTGCATCATAGAGATCTCTGTTCTTAGGGGTGCAAGAAAATCTTTAGTAAGCCCACAGGTTTGCTTCATGCAAAAGAAGAAAGCTGATGTTAGCAGGGAAAAGTTATGAATGTTTCTATAAAAAAAAGATAGCCACTTTTGGTAAGCTTGCTTCCTTAACAGAGTTCCTCTGCAGTTTTTTAGATAAATGTTTCATTCCATTCTCGCTTTTTTTTCCTTTATGAAATAGTATTACAGACATCAATTACATCAGAAATGGCCAGCTGAAATGGAAAGGTAATCTTCATTCCCACAGCCTGTATTGGTAATTATGGGAACTGACCTGAAGCTTTTGACAGAAAGTGATGTTTATGCTCTCTTATAGACCCCTCTATTCCCCAAACAAACGAACAGAGAGAAGGACAAGTTGAAGGTTAAACAGAGGTTGTATTGGCAGATGCATTATATAGTCTTCCACAAAATATGGCTTTCACTATTATAGAGAAGGCCAATTGTGTTTAAATTATACTCCAGTGGGATCTGGTCTAGAAAAACAGTACCATCATTTGGAAGACATACAGTAAGACACAACAGAAGTATGAACATTTAAAAAAAAAAGCAAGAAACTTTAGTAGATTCTGACTCGAAAACATCATTGTTTGCTTTCTGCCAATTTGCTTGATTTAGGTGCCATGTATCCATCCCACAGTAAGATGAAAATGTCAATTATTTTTCAGTTGAGTGCAAAAATTGCTTTCTTTTTTTTTTATAATTGTTTGCTGGGCTTGTGATTTCATTAACATCCTAGTTACATAAAAAAAAATAAATAATGAAAATAAAATAAAAAACCGTTGAGAAACTCTAAGCTCAAAGGAAGCGTGACAGAAATTGGTCCCAGCTACAGCAATCATTGGTATTAGAAATAAAATGTTGCCAGCATTTACCAATTTACCAACAAGTCTCTTCTTGATTGCCTTGGAAGCCCTAAATACCAGGGTATTATATACGCAAATTATTATTTGAAGTGGTTCTAAAGCCTGAACATTTTTTACCTTAATGCATTCCCTCCATTAAATTGATTGTAGAGTTTTAGGTTTTTTTTTTAAATAACAAACATGTCATGCTGATCTGCTCTGTGCAATGGTCTTGCACAAAGCAGCCCCGATCCTCTTCTTTTCGGGTCCACCACCGATGCTCCAGGCCCCTCCCCCCTGCTTAGTGCCTCAGAGCAAGCCGCTTGCTCTGGGGGCACTCATGCATGCTTGCTCCTGAGCAAATTCTGTGTGTCTATGAGACACACAGAGCGCATGCCGGCTCAACCCCTTTTTTCCTCCTCACTGGCTGTGATTGACAGCAGCAGGAGCGATGCCTTTTGCTGCTGTGTCTAAGCCAATGAGAAGGCAGAGACTCGGGAGAGCTTCTGCTCTCATGCACATCGCTAGATTGGGATTGGGCTTAGGTGAGTATAAGGGGGGGCGCTGCACACTGAAGGTTTTTTTATCCTCATGCATAAAAAAAATGTTCAGCCTTTAGAACCACTTTAGGTTAAAAAATGTTTAGGTAATAGTATCACCCCCCGCCTCTCCCCCCCCGTACTCACCTGAGCCGTCACTGCGCCATGCCCATCTATATTGGCTCTCTCTATTCTCACAGCCACTGGCTCCCACTGCTGTCAGTCAAATCCTATGACGAGGGAATTGGGGGGGGGGGGGGAAAATTGTGGTGAGTCGCGCTGTCTGTTACTATGGATGCAGGCAACACAGCTTGTGATCGACAACAGAAAGTGGCTTCCTATGGTGGCACACCAAAAAGATTGAGGCACCAGTGGGGAACCCCAGAAAAATAGAAGAATAGGACCAGGGCACCTCTCTGCATTTCTTTTGCACAGAGCAGGTACAGTGGGGATCGAAAGTTTGGGCACCCCAGCTAAAAATTTGTATTAATGTGCATAAAGAAGCCAAGGAAAGATGGAAAAATCTCCAAAAGGCATCAAATTACAGATTAGACATTCTTATAATATGTCAACAAAAGTTAGATTTTATTTCCATCATTTACACTTTCAAAATAACAGAAAACCAAAAAAATGGCATCTGCAAAAGTTTGGGCACCCTGCAGAATTTATAGCATGCACTGCCCCCTTTGCCAAGCTGAGACCTGCCAGTGTCATGGATTGTTCTCAATCATCGTCTGGGAAGACCAGGTGATGTCAATCTCAAAGGTTTTAAATGCCCAGACTCATCTGACCTTGCCCCAACAATCAGCACCATGGGTTCTTCTAAGCAGTTGTCTAGAAAACTGAAACTGAAAATAGTTGATGCTCACAAAGCTGGAGAAGGCTATAAGAAGATAGCAAAGCGTTTTCAGATGTCAATATCCTCTGTTTGGAATCTAATTAAGAAATGGCAGTCATCAGGAACAGTGGAAGTTAAAGTAAGATCTGGAAGACCAAGAAAAACATCAGACAGAACAGCTCGCAGGATTGTGAGAAAAACAATTTAAAAACCCACGTTTGACTGCACGATCCCTCCAGAAAGATCTGGCAGACACTGGAGTTGTGGTACACTATTCCACCATAAAGAGATACTTGTACAAATATGGTCTTCATGGAAGAGTCATCAGAAGAAAACCTCTTCTACGTCCTCACCACAAAAATCATCGTTTGAACTTTGCAAATGAACATATAGACAAGCCTGATGCATTTTGGAAACAAGTTCTGTGGACCGATGAGGTTAAAATTGAACTTTTTGGCCGGAATGAGCAAAGGTACGTTTGGAGAAGAAGGGGCACAGAATTTAATGAAAAGAACCTCTGTCCAACTGTTAAGCATGGGGTTGGATCAATCATGCTTTGGGGTTGTGTTGCAGCCAGTGGCACAGGGAACATCTCACGAGTAGAAGGAAAAATGGATTCAATAAAATTTCAGCAAATTTTGGATGGTAACTTGATGCCATCTGTGAAAAAGCTGAAGTTAAATAGAGGATGTCTTCTACAAATGGATAATGATCCTAAACACACCTCGAAATCCACAGGGAATTACATCAAGAGGCGTAAACTGAAGGTTTTGCCATGGCCTTCACAATCTCCTGACCTCAACATAATTGAAAATCTATGGATAGACCTTAAAAGCGCAGTGCGTGACAGACAGCCTAGAGATCTCAAAGAACTGGAAGACTTTTGTAAGGAAGAATGGGCAAAGATACCTCAAACAAGAATTGAAAGACTCTTGGCTGGCTACAAAAAAGCGTTTACAAGATGTGATACTTGCCAAAGGGGGCAGTACAAGATATTAACTCTGCAGGGTGCCCAAACTTTTGCAGACGCCATTTTTTTGTTTTCTGTTATTTTGAAAGTGTAAATGATGGAAATAAAATCTAACTTTTGTTGACATATTATAAGAATGTCTAATCTGTAATTTGATGCCTTTTGGAGATTTTTTTTCCATCTTTCCTTGGCTTCTTTATGCACATTAATACAAATTTTTAGCTGGGGTGCCCAAACTTTCGATCCCCACTGTAAGTATAACACATTTGTTATTTTATATAGTATATATACAGTATATACGGCCGATTTTCGCAATCATTGGTGGCAACAGAACGATCGCTATTTAGTTTTTCAGCTGAAAAATCGGCCGATAAACGAACCGCCTATGGCCTGCATATCAGCATGAAATGGACAGGGGTTTTCTATGTTAACTAACGCCCTTTTATAATCAACTGTCTGCTGAACACCTGTTTAATGAATAATTAGACTCAGCTGTAGTTGAATTCTTGTTAACTAGGATTTTGTTGTCTAGAATTTAGCTTTGCTCTTAATACTTTCACTGGGGTGTATTCATTTTTGCAACATGGTCTTGAATTAATTTGTTAGGAAAAATATTTTTTGTGTGTGAAAAATTAACAAATCTTGTTTGCAATCAGTGACCCACATTTTGTGGAAGTATTTTATAGTATATGTCCCATAGAAAAAGGTTGATTGTGAAAGGGAAATAAAAGAAAATTAGGGGAAAAATTCCTGATTATGAGCCAACATCCCCAGGACAATTGGAACATAGGAGAGACTCCCTAACACTGGGACTTTAACGGCTTAGAAAGTACTGGAAGTATTAAAAAAAGTATAAATTTTATTGTCAAAAAAGGTAATAACACAAAGACATACAATACATCATACAGCGTCATAATAAAGCATCCCAATCAGAAAATGAAATTACATGATAAGGATACCCAATTTGACTGTGTTTGACTGGTCATAAAAGATACAAATTGGTATCATCATTGATGCAATAAAACTGCAGAGATACTAATCTAATTGTTCCAACGCGTTTCAGAGTGATTCCACTCTTTCCTCAGGGAAAAGAGAAGAACTCTGCAGAGTTAATTTTCTGATTGTGATGATTTATTATGACTCTGTATGACGTATTGTATGTCTTTGTGTTATCACTTTTTTGACAATAAAATGTATACGTTTTTAATACTTCCAGTACTTTCTAAGCCCTTAAGATCCCAGTGTTAGGGGGTGTCTACTTTTTTCCAAGTGAAATGAAAGTAAAGATTCTCTGACAAATCTGTTGGTGTGTACTCATTTATGCTGAGCACTATATATATATATATATATATATATATATATATATATATCATATATACCCATACACACTATATTGCCAAAAGTATTGGGACACCCCTCCATAACCTTGGATTCAGGTGTTCCAATCACCTCCATGGCCACAGGTGTATAAAATCAAGCACCTAGGCATGCAGAGTGCTTCTACAAACATTTGTGAAAGAATGGGTTGGTCACAGGAGCTCAATGAATTCAAGCGCAGTACTATTATAGGTTGCCACCTGTGCAATAAGTCCATCCGTGAAATATCCTTGCTACTAAATATTCCACTGTCAACTGTTAGTGGTATTATAACAAAGTGTAAGTAACTGGGAACAACAGCAACCCAGCCACGAAGTGATAGACCATGTAAAATGACAGAGCGTGGTCAGCGCATGCTGAAGCACACGGTGAGCAGAAGTCGCCAACTGTCTGCAGAGTCAATAGCTAAACACCTCCAAACTTCATGTGGCCTTCAGATTAGCATAACATGCATAGAGAGCTTCATAAAATGCGTTTCCATAGCCAAGCAGCTGCATCCAAGACTTATATCACCAAGTGCAATGCAAAGTGTCGGATGCAGTGGTGTAAAGCACACCACCACTGGACTCTAGAGCAGTGGAGATGTGTTCTCTGGAGTGATGAATTATGCTCCTCTGTCTGGAAATCTGATGGACGTGCCTGGGTTTGGCGGTTGCCACGAGAACAGCACTTGCCTGACTAAATTGTGCCAAGTGTAAAGTTTGGTGGAGGAGGGATTATGGTGTGGGGTTGTTTTTCAGGGGTTGGGTAGTTCCACTCTGAAGGCATCAGCATACTAAGACATTTTGGACAATTTCATGCTCCCACCTTTGTGGGAAGAGTTTGGGGATGGCCCCTTCCTGTTCCAACATGACTGCGCACCAGTGCACAAAGCAAGGTCCATATAGACATGGATGAGCGAGTTTGAAGTGGAGGAACTTGACTGGCATGTAAAGAGTCCTGATCTTAACCGGTCAGAACACCTTTGGGATGAATTAGAGCGGAGACTGCAAGCCAGGCCTTCTCGTCCGACAATCAGTGCCTGACCTCACAAATGCTCTTCTGGAAGAATGGTCAAACATTCCCATAGACACTTTCTAAACCTTGTGGACAGCCTTCCCAGAAGAGTTGAAGCTGTTATAGCTGCAAAGGACTAAGACTTGGATGCCATTAAAGTTAATGTGCGTGTAAAGGCAGGCATCCCAATATTTTTGACAATAGAGTGTTGTCATGTTTCACATGACTGTCATATTGACTGTCATTTGCCTTTAAGTGTTTCTATATTTTGTTTCTGCTCCTCCCTTTCCTTTGGTTTAGTTAATGCTGTATAGATAGTTTATGGAATAAACTTCACAAGATCTACAAGATGTCTTATTGATTAAGTTACTGACTGTGGTATTCAACTGAGGTGGAAGTTATCACTATCTCATCACAACTGTAAGTTACAGAGATCACACTATCAATGCTAGATTGGAGAGACAGAACAAGTGTATATATACCTGTACATATTTTTACAACTACTTTAGGCAAAAATAGTTGAGGCCTCATTAACACATACACACACACTTCTTGTGCCTACCTAATGGTTTATAAGGGTGCCCTTTGTATTGATAGAATGTCACATCAATGTACAGTATCATGTCATCTACCCAATAGGTAAGTGCCATACATCTCCAACTATAGTGAACATCAGAGAATGATGGTATGTGGTCTCATATGTAACAAAAATGAGCTAGTGAAGGGGATGACTTTACCAGCTGACTTTGAGGGAGTGCTTTTTTTGGTAAATTAAACATGAATAAAAGCTAGAATACTGCTTATTTCTGCACCTTTGAAATGGGTGGTGGTGCCAAATTAGTCTTAATGACAGAGAAACAAATTACAGATAACTGGCTCATTCATAGTTATGACAATCCTTGACATTGAGAGAGTGGAGGTTGCCTCTCAGCACTAAGGTACCTAGCCTGTGGCCCTTCTTACATTCTGCTCTTATTCTCCTTGCTCTGTTCAGTTGTGCTCTTATAACTTTCTTACTATTGATTTTTCCAGCCATGTAATAGAAGCTGAAGTATTCATCATAACTGAGAATATACATGCTCTATTCCCAACATAACAATTTATAATTTCTATTGATTGTGAATGCCATAAATGATAGGCTCTATTCACCCAGATATATGTAGGTTAACCACTTCCCAAGCATTGTAAGTCTTTGGAGAATGCTGGAGGCCAGGGGCTTCATGTGACCTTCTTTGCTATCTTGGCAGCCCTTGTGATTATGATCTTTTTTTAATATGAATTCTGTGAACTTGTTTCCTCTTACAGAAGGAGAAGAATGTTGGTACTTACAATGCTTTGGTATCTACCATCCTCACAAGCCTGATCAAATTAGGGTGGTCTTTGACTCAAGTGTTCACTGAGCCTAATCTGAACAACAATCTCATAGGAATTTTACTTCACTTCAGACAAGAGCCAATTGCTGTTATGGCTGACATTCAGCAGATGTTCCACTGTTTCATCGTTCGTGAAGACTACATAAACTTCCTCCGGTTCCAGAGGTACCGCAATAATGATGTCAACGATGAAGTCATAGACTATCGAATGAAGATACATGTTTTCGGTAACAGTCCTTCTCCTGGACTGAGGAAAACAGCTCAAGAGGGTGAGAAAGAATTAGGATCTGATGCAAGACAGTTTGTCAAAAGGAATTTCTATGTAGATGACGGACTCAAATCTCTGCCCAATGAAGAAGAAGCTATTGACCTTCTTACTAGAACCCAGAACATGCTTGTCACTGCAAACCTCAGACTTCACAAAATCATCTCTAACACTGACAAGGCCATGGTAGCCTTTCCTTCTGATGACCATGCTGTCAGTGTGAAGAAATTCCAACTAAGATCTGACCTGTTACACAACGCAGTCTTGGATTGCTTTGGAATGTTAAACAAGACACATTCACATTTCAAGCATCAGCCTGTGACAACCCCTTCACAAAGTGACGAGTATTGTCTACAGTGAACAGCCTTTATGATCCGTTTCATTACACCTCTCACCATTCAGGGTAAGATACTGCTGAGACAAATTACTTCTGAAAGTTCAGACTGGGATACCCCCTTACCCAAGGAGAAACAACAAAGGTGGGAATCCTGGAAACAGTCTTTAAAAGCATTAGAACAACTCCAGATATCACGTTCTTACACCCAAGCATCCCTAAAGAATGCCACCAGAAGAGAGATTCATGTCTTCTGTACGCCTGAAAAATGGCACTATGTTTCCACAAGCCTCAACCCTGCTGATCATGGCAGTGGTGCAGTACCTACTACTGCATTTTGGGACACATCTTGGCTATATCCACCATGAAGAAGGTTCTGCACACCTTTACTCTAGGCCTATAAAGGAACTAGTACTTCTTTTGCCCAAAGAGGAAGACAAGTCATCAACCTGATTTAAAGGGAGGTAAGAAGGAATCGTGCATGTTGCTGCCTTCCTCTCTGAATATGGATTTCCATGTCTCAGCCTGGACTTTTGAGACCAACATCTGCAAGTATTATGCTAAATGTTTGCATTCTTTTCCTTTGTTCTTCCCTTCCCTCTTGTTTTGCAGATGTTCCTGGAAAGAATCTTCATTATTTATATTGGGCTTGAACTAAAGTTTATTATAATAGAAATCATAGATTTCGACGGGGAGTGTCATGTTTCACGTGACTGTCATATTAACGGTCATATGCCTTTAAATGTTTCTATATTTTGTTTCTGCTCCTCCCTTTCCTTTGGTTTAGTTAATGCTGTAATAATAGCCCTCCCGCTTTCGCAGAAATGCATTGCACCTATCAAATGTTCATTGTTGTAAGATTATCTCAGTTTATGGAATAAACTTCACAAGATCTACAAGATGTCTTATCGATTGAGTCACTGACTGTGGTATCCAACTGAGGTTGAAGTTATCGCTATCTCATCACAACTGTAAGTTACAGAGATCACACTATCAATGCTAGATTGGAGAGACAGAACAAGTGTATATATACCTGTACATATTTTTACAACTACTTTAGGCAAAAATAGTTGAGGCCTCATTAACACATACACACACACTTCTTGTGCCTACCTAATGGTTTATAAGGGTGCCCTTTGTATTGATAGAATGCCACATCAATGTACAGTATCATGTCATCTACCTAATAGGTAAGTGCCATACATCTCCAACTATAGTGAACATCAAAGAATGATGGTATGTGGTCTCATATGTAACACAAATGAGCTAGTGAAGGGGATGACTTTACCAGCTGACTTTGAGGGAGTGCTTTTTTTGGTAAATTAAACATGAATAAAAGCTAGAATACTGCTTATTTCTGCACCTTTGAAATGGGTGGTGGTGCCAAATTAGTCTTAATGACAGAGAAACAAATTACAGATAACTGGCTCATTCATAGTTATGACAATCCTTGACATTGAGAGAGTGGAGGTTGCCTCTCAGCACTAAGGTACCTAGCCTGTGGCCCTTCTTACATTCTGCTCTTATTCTCCTTGCTCTGTTCAGTTGTGCTCTTATAACTTTCTTACTATTGATTTTTCCAGCCATGTAATAGAAGCTGAAGTATTCATCATAAATGAGAATATACATGCTCTATTCTCAACAGAACAATTTATAATTTCTATTGATTGTGAATGCCATAAATGATAGGCGCTATTCACCCAGATATATGTAGGTTAACCACTTCCCAAAGCATTGTAAGTCTTTGGAGAATGCTGGAGGCCAGGGGCTTCACGTGACCTTCTTTGCTATCTTGGCAGCCCTTGTGATTATGATCTTTTTTTAATATGAATTCTGTGAACTTGTTTTCAAGCTTTTGAGCCAGAGTTTTTTTGTGAGGATAGACCTCACCAGACACCCTGAGACACCTGTGGCATTAAATGAGTTATGATTAAGCACAAGATCGTGTGAAACGCGTTGACAGGTCCTGTATTCATGTCCTGGTGTTTTGTGTGTCATATGGATCAATAAACACATACTATATTCATCAATCCTCCGGTGTGCGGCTGACCCTTCTTCCTATTAAAGGAGTTCAACGAACAAGCAAAAGCCCTGCAGTAAAGAAATGAGTGGCGCAACCAACAACAATAATACAACTCAATAGCACATCTAAAGCAGCACACAAATGTAACAAGAGAGACTAAATACAAATCTATCAAAGAGCAGCAAACTAAGCAACCTGACTGAAAGTTAAAGAAAGACTATCTAAACCAGTGGCCAGTGGGTCTAAGTAAAGCTATCCAGCACTAAGGCCCTGGATCGCTCACTCTCTTAGACAAGAGTATTTAAAATACGATGGGAAAAAATGTAAATGGTGCAAGGCAGACTCTCTCCACAGGCAGCAACTTTAAATAACAATATTATCAACAGGGTCCATATTAAACAAGTGACCAAAGGGCCTCTCACTACACCCAATTGGGGTTGCACCAATACCGTATCTGCACTACTATGCATTTGCACGAGTATCGGTACACGTGCAAATGCACTGATACTAAAAAACGATACCTTAAGGTTTGATTCTTTCAGAGGGATTTCCCCACTGGCAGCTGAATGTAAACACAAGAA